GAAATCTTTACCTCCAAACTGACAAACAAGTAAAGACAGGATTGTAATGGAATCATAACCAAAGCTTCTGCAATTTGCCAAACAGATAACATTACAGATAACAGATTTGCCAACAGATAACATTAAGTGACATCAATCTTGAAATTCTAATAATTTTTAAAGCCATGCACATTCAGAAAGAGGTTGAAAAATAACAGCACAAATTTATATGATTTATGTAAAATTCTCCTGGTCTGTCTGGAAAGAGTATCCTGTTAAATAAAATATCATTAAAAGGCCCCTGCTAAGAAGCAGTCAAGTGATACCCATGGTCTAGCCACGTTTTAAAACTACTTTGTCTACTTAGAATGGAATTCAATGAACATGGTTAATTCACTGTATATTCCTAAATAGCTAGACTGTGTCCCTAATGCAAACATTGGAGGGCACACGGAAGAGCTGCAGTAGTCAAGTCAGACAAAAAAATATGGATTAAAGTTTTAGCAAGTGGGCTAGAAAGAGCATAGGTCTCAGCCCAGCCAGATTCCAAAGACAGTAGTAAGACACTTTAATTACATGATTGATGTGGGCTTCAAAAACAGGCACCAAATCCACAATGACCTCAAGGTCACAAGCATTATCTGAAGGATAAAAGAAATACCACAAATGGAAACTACCACAGATGACACCTGAGACCTCTGCACCAGTGAACTAATCAATAGCAACTCAGTTTTGTCTGTGTTAAGTTTAACAAAATTTGAAGTTACCCGTGATTAAATATCACAGAGGCAATTACACAAAACATCAAACTTCTTTGTAGGCTCTGAAGGGACTGAGAGGATATCCGAATATCGTCTGCATACAAATGACACAGCAAGAGGGCAGCTGAATACTGTTAAGTAAGAGAAGTATATAAACAGAAATCAAAATTGAAATATAGGAGAATCACAGCTTTCCTAAAGAATGGATTCCCTCCAGCAGAACTGAATTTTATCAATACATATGAAACAGCAAAAACAAACTAGTCCAAGCTCCCAAACTGAAAAAAGGAAAGGCCTGATAAATAGTCATTGGAAAGTCAACATCTAGTAAAATACATGAGCTGCTAAGTAATTTAAATATTTTATTCACCTTCATTAATATGTCTGGAAGCAAGAACTCCCGATGAAAGAAGTGGCTGTATTCCATTTAAAAGGAAAAGCTGAATCTATGTAGATGTATCAGCGAGGTGCTCGACTTCTCTCTGTAGACATCTGAAGTATTGTTAAATTGCAATAATACACTAATATGGGAAGATCAATGATTTTGTCTCTTGAAAGGCAGGGCAGCAATGACTTCCAGCATCTCATCTACCTCTGGAATTAGAAAAAGGCCAGGCACTGACAGAAAGTGGAGTTAGGTCACAGTTGAAGGAGTGAGAGTAACTTTGTGCACACATTCAGGCCAGATGGAAGCTCCATTTGACAGGGGAAACATCAGGATAAGAGTAAGAAGAACAAGCAAAGGTCTGAGAGTGGGAAAAGTTCCAGACAAACGGTGGCAACGGCCAAAAAAATCTAGGCCATTTCCAAAATTTAACATGGGAATTAATAATGATTTATGGCTGTAAAACTGACGTTAATTAAAGCAATTTTAGAGTATCCTTATCACTTTGATTTGATGCTATTACAGCTAGAAGGGAAGAGCATACAAATTACCCAGAGAAAGACTTTAAGCTCACCAATGGGGTTATTTTCCTATCATGTTCTCATTTCTTGACCATGTTAGTGCAGGATCTGAGCCAAAAGCAGTCACAGTGGAATATGGATAGAGGATGAAATCTTACTAAAATGTAGAGGGATTGCAAGAAAGGACTGTAACAGAGTTCAACAGGAGGCAATGTCAGGTATGACACTTAAACTTATCTCTGAAGTAAAAAAGTTCAGAATTATAAGGTACCTAAATAGAAACCTGTGTATAAAGGTTTACTGGGGATTTTATGTTGGGGTTTTTGGGTTTGGGTTTGGTTTTGTTGGTTTTTTTTTTTTTTAGAGATATCTAACTGATCCCAAATACAGAGGTAATAAATGCAAAGACAGTTGTTCCTAAAAAAATCAATTCTTGGTTTCTAATAAATCAGGACAGGGAGGAGGGATCAACCATGGACCATATGTTTCCTCTGCCACCTTGATTTAGTGCCAAAAATTGACCTTTGCTCTTGGGTTCAAAAGTCCAGGCCTTCTGTGAGCTTCCATAATGAGATGTCAGCTGTAAGGCAATAATGTAATGAAACTCAGGTGTGGATTTAGCAGGACAGCCAAGGGGGATGTGACCTCCTTCTCTCCCTGCCATTCCCCTTGTTCATGCATTCTGCCTGCCCACCCCCATGCCAGCACTGGGAATGGGGTTGCCTGCCTCCAGGTCCATGGGGTCCTTCTGTGAGTCCAGCAAGGAGGAAAGAGAGGCCTAGACCCTGCAGGAGAAGATCGAGGGCTCAGTTCTCCTGCGTGGATCAGGTGGAGCACCTTGGAATGGTGCTATCAGCCTCTGCTGTATACAGGATTAGGGGCAGGAATGGGCTGTGAGAGCCTGGAGGGACCCAGAAATACTTCCCAGCTCCATGCACACATCGCAGCCATTGTTACAAATACTGAGTGCAGGTGGTGAAGTTTTGCTTCCCATCTCTGCCTCCATGGCCTGATGCCCATGGGAAGGAAACTCCAGAAGGTACATGGAAGGTGAGAGGGTTCAACTTGCTAGGCCCCAGGAGTGGGCAATCAGTGCTCATGGAGATTCAGCCATAGTAGGCAAAAACTTCATGTGTGATCCCATATGAGTAACATATAAACCAAGAGAAAGAATTAGTAACTCGATTAAAAATTGTCTGCATTTTGCACATGAAGTAGAATGTTTTGGACAGTAAAGACTGGTAGAAACCCACTCTAAGTCCTTAGGAACTCCTGTGCAGAAAAATATCCTAGTTGTACCACCTGATTGCAAAACCAAGCCTGTATCATCTCTAGACCAGGGAACAACCTTAATTGCATATGTACATGGTTTGAAATATATCCTTATTTTAACTATTGTGAGTAGTTACAATGATCACCACTACTTCCTGGTTTGTTGTGGGTTTGTTTTTTTTTTTTTTTTGGGGGGGGGGGGTTTTTTTGGTTTTTTTGGTTTTTTTTTTTTTTTTTTTTGTAGAAATCTTCCTTTGTTTTCAGTTTTGTGTTTGGATGTTTTCTTATTTGGTTTGTTTTGTAAGGTTTGGGTTGATTTTTTTTCTGTGTCATCATCAGAAATGCAACTATAATATTTGCATTTAAGTCCCTTCTTGAAGTTCTCTCCTGGCTATGAGGCATATGAAAACAGCTTTTAACTCTTTCTAAAAGCTTTGCCAGGTCACTAACTCTTTCATAACTTTCTGGCCTTTCTATGAGGCATAAAATACAAAGCAGACATGAGTGTTTCACATTGTGTCCTAACCACCAGTATTACATGGGCAAAATACATGGCCCCAGAATGACCTTCTCATTAGTTCTTGGTGTTGCCATGATTTCTGGTTAAATACTATTTAGATCAGAAATAAGACATGCAAACACTGGTATTCATAAAACACTTCTGAATTTTTTGACACACTACTTTCACATCTCTAATTTTGGAATTTCCAGACAGTTAGGCTTCAGAAAGTTGAGAATTAGGCTGTCCTGTTTTGTAAATCTGGGAAAAATAGTCTCTGCTTGTTTTCAGCAATATCTATGTGTTTATGCTGCTATTAATAGTTTAGATGTGTATCTTCGATCCTATGGTCAGGACTGGTGAGATGATCATGCTTCAGTGGGAGCAGCTGATTAGGAGTAGTTCTTATTTCTCTTCTTTCTTATGTTTCCATATTTTTGGGAACAAATGCACTAAGAGATTCCTTAAAAATCTATATTGCTTGAGCAGGAGTCATACAGGTGGCCTCTGCCAGGTCTAGCTACAGTGCTCTGAGACACAGCAGCCCAGCTGCAGACAGCTTATTACTTGCAGCAAAGGATGCAACAGTAAATATTTGCAGGTTCTTCACTGGCAGCAGTTCACAGTCCAACATGCAGGAGGCAAGCAGTGTCAAGCATTGATAGCTCAATGGCAGCTAGGAAGGGTTCCCCTAAGCCAGAAAGTCACTTTTCTGTTTTCTATATCAAAAAAGCCATAAAAGAAAGGACTTTTCTAGTTCAAATCCATCCTGACAGGACTGGTGTGCTGGAAAGATACACACTGCCTTTCTCTACCATATGGCCACAAGGTTGCAAGTTTTTCACCCCTCCATTTTGTCCATCTTCACCAAAAATTCTTGCCTACCCTTCGGCGCAGGCTTCAGAGCTCTGTAGCATCTTTCTCTGTGTACACTGACATCAGACCTTGGCCATTATGTCTACACGCAGCAGTTATGGCAGATGCCATTGCAGTCTAGCCAGAACCAAGCTCCAGACCAAACCCAGCTGTGTGGGGCACCCATACACCTCAGGTCTGCTGGGAGAAGCTTGACATTTCCCTTCCTTGCCTCGGAGCTCTTGCAGAACACACCTGTGTGTGCTGGTCCCTGCTTGCCCTCTCCATGCGGTCCACAGTGGGCAGGGAGCCGGTGCCAAGCCTCATTGTAGCCATGGCTTTCTCCCGGCCCTGCCAGGCACAGACACATGCTGCTGCTGCTGCTGCTGCTATTTCTGTTGCTCAAGAGAGAGGCAAAAATAGCACAGGGTACTTGTAAAGCCAAGCTTCCCGGGGCATTTTGGCCTGCCTGTGGCATGGCACTTTTTACGAAGCTATTTCCTGGGTCACCAGTTGACCTTGGAAAAGGAAAGCTGGCCCTGTCTAAGCGAACTGCCCCAAAATATTCCTGCCGTGAGGCAGGGCTGGTGGCCTGGTATGCACAGGGCAGACAAGCAGGGAGCTGTCTAGAATACCAGTGACACGTGCTGGCAGAAAATCACCACTGCATGCTTTTGCTAATTTGGCTATGACTCCTTGTGCTCATTTCTGAGCTGGCTTAGATCTGCCTTGCCTGGTGATCCAGCTGGTGACGGCTCTGATACCTGAATCATGGCTGGTAAGGGCTGCTGCAAGGGCTTCCAGGGGCTTTTCCTCCCAGCAGAACTTGCACCCTGACTTTTCAAAGGTGTCACTCGTTTTTCATTACTGTAATACGTGCACCAGGCTGCTATTATTTATTCTAGTGATGCAGGTGACTTTCACAGGACTAGTACAGAGAAATTCTATCCTCCCTGGTAGTCAGGTTAGTTAATACACTCCATGGTAAAAGACTCTTCAGACTTTTTCGTTACAAATCTCTCACAGCTTCCTTGTTTGTTGTAAGGCTTTGATATCCAGCAAAAAGAAGCATTAGAAGTGTCTTTTTTTTCTCTAAAACTCTCTTCTGCTATCATTGAGCTACTAAGTTAAAGAAGTTAACACATTTTCTTCTATTGAACATGTACATCATATATACAAATTACAATTTTAACCTTACTTGAAATATTCCTAAGAAATAAGACATCCAAATGATGTTATGCTGGTTTTGTCTGGAGTAGAGTTAATTTTCTTCACTGTGGCTGGTGCAGGGCTGTGTTTCAGATTTGTGCTGAACATGGGGTTGATAAGATAGAGATGTTTCTGTTATTGCTGCGCAGGGCTTACACAAAGCCAAAACATTTCTGCTTTTTGTGCTGCCACACTGGAAAGGAGACTGTGGCTTAACGGGAAGCTGGGAGAAGACATGGCTAGGACAGGTGGCTCAGACTGACTAAAGGGATATTCCAGACCACATGGCATCACATTCAGTATATAAGTGGGGGGGAAAAGGGACAAGGAGGGATGTTTGGAGTGTTGGCATTTTGTCTTCCCAAGTAACTGTTGCTTTGCTTACATGTGTGCCTTTAGTGTTCCCTATTAAACTGTTATTGTCTTAATCTACAAGTTTTCTGGCTTTTACTCTTCTGATTCTCTCTCTGACCCCACTGGTGGGGGAATGAGTGTGTGGCTGTTTAGGACATGGATGCTGGCCGGGATTAAACTGCAACAGTTATAATTAAAATTGAGGCTGCAAAACAAAGCACTAAAAGGTTGGAAAATGACACAGTCAAGGTTGGCTGTGTAATCATAGGTCGTCTCTAGTCAATATTAATTCTGGTACTATTTGAAAAAATCTGTTTGAAATTGCTGATCTTTCTTCTGACAGCAGGATCCCCTGCACCACAGAGCTCACAGATCAAAACAGAAATAGTGATGCTCTCATCTTGTGGTCTTCAAGTCTAGTTCTGTAGGACTGGGGGGGAGGGAGGGGGTCAGATTAAGAGAAGTAGGCTTTGAATTTTTGTTTGCTTATTATTAATTACTCTGCTGAGGGATAGAACAATATTGCTTTCAAACATGTCAGTGCTATGGACAAACAGGCTGCAATCTCAGCCATACTGACTTGTCTGCCCACAGACTGTAAGCTCTTTCTTGACAGCAGCATATCCACCCTTTAAGGCAGCATTTTAAACCAAAAAAAAAACCAACCAAACCTCAAATTCTAACCCACTAGCCCTGTTTTCCACCAATCTTAGAAACTGCAAAATACTTAATTAGAAATTTTCCTGTGATTATTGGCCAAAGCATATCATCTTTATTCCATACTTTTCCACTACTGACCACAAGTATTGGTTATTTCCATTTAAAAAGATTTGCATGCACCTACGATCATGGTGTTTGGATACTTGACAGTACTATTCTCAGCTAGAAAAGAATCCAAATAGGACCAAAGAGAATATGATGAAGTAGCCAAGGAAAAAATCAACATCTTAAATTTGTTACTTTTGTAGATTTTTTGTTAGGGTGAAGATCTTTGAAATCAAGCTTGCTGGCAAAATGCATGATAGCCATACAAATTGTAAAGCCTGGCAAAAGTGTTTCCAAATTAAAGAGCTTGAAATCAAGAGATGAAGAATGTAGATCATATTCAGATCCTTAAAACATTTGCAGTTGCAAAAGCTAACCTGGGCATACCATAAAGCATAAGTCTTTAATCTCTCATTAGAGACTGAGAACTATAGGTGATTATTAGAAAATAATGGTGTACTGAATGCATTCTGAATGGCTGGGATGCATTGCACCCACCAAACCAGTGTGAGAAGGAAATTAAGGTCTTGTCTTATTTTCAGATTACCAAAGCCAGGTACCTTTGTGCTGATAGTGTTAGGAGTTTGAAAATTACCTCACAAATGGCAGTTCTTAAAAAAAATAAAAAAAGCTATAATAAAAATAATAACAGCAATAATGATGACTGTTTGTGGTAGCTAACTTGGGAACCAACAGCAACATGTATATTTTCTCAATGTGAAACATCTGTACTTTCTGCACTCAGCTGGATATGCTTGAGCCATGAATTTGAGGCACCCAAGGCTCTGATTCCCATGACATACTAACAGTCAAAGAACTTGTACAGCACAACAAATTCCTGTCTTCGTATTTCTCTCCTGACAGGTAGGGCCACAGAGTTAGAGCTCTTGTGCTGCTTACAGGGCTTTTCATGCAGGAGTTATTCCCAAGAGACTCTTTTCCTAAGGTTTAAGATCCTTTTAGATAGAAGAGTGGCTAAAAAAAAAGTCTTAATGTAATTGATAATCAGATTTGCTGTGTACCTTGCAAAATACTAAGACACCAAAGTTTTTAAGAATTAAATGCAGCAACAAATTTGTGCATTAAATTTTGAGCATGGCTATATTCCAGCAGTGAAAAATAAATATTGTCAGTGTGACAATAAAATGATGGTCATTGAATAAAAAACATCAGGTTGGCTCAGGTATTATCAGCCAAATACAATGTAATAAGGATATCTTAATTTTGAAACATTACATTCAAGAATGGTGAGAAAAACTGCTTGTTACTCAAAATAAGAATGTATTTAGGTTTTATAATTGACATCAGTGTTACTTAGAATTGACCTTCTTCCCTTGATATTCCAACAGACACCAAGTCAGTTTCATATTAACCACATCAATTGGTTTCAGCCACTGCTTGATAACCAAACCCCAGAACTGGTGCTGATGCAACTAAGGTTTCTATTTCTATGAGTATGAAAAAGGATTCTCCCAGGTTTATATGCCAAAAAAGCAGGCCAGACTTTAATCAGTGATGCAAACACTTTATGGCAAGCATCTGACAACAGACGATTTATAGAGGCAAGGGAGAAATTAAACTAAAGAAAATCATACTAATTAATGGTCGTAGCATATTAATAATCTAATTATCAAGGTAACATCGATGGCAAGAGAGAACTTTGATACAAACATGGAGCACATCAGTGGATACTAAATAGACAAGTATAATAGAAAGAGTGTGGCTGGATTTAGGCATGTATTGGCTGCAATACTTACAAATTCTCCACAAAGTGTCTTATGTTGGCATGAAGCATGACCATATGGAGACAAATCTATCAGAAGAAACTTTAAGTGGCACATAACTATAATCCTAAAGATTCTGAGAGAAGGAGCTGCCAGGTTTCATCAGCTAGACCAACTTGGCCTACTGGTAATGAATTAAAAGTCAGAAGCACAACCCTCAACTCATGCAATACCACTCTTGGGGTTAAAGAGTTTGGCTTTTGCTCCTATACACAGGCACATCTGAGGAGATCTGACATCAGTTGTAAAGTCAGAAATACTCATCTATTTTAGTGGTTGCTAATTAGATGCTCATTCAAGAGGTAATTGAGCCCATAGCAAGTTTCAGGTTTTGAGTACCATTTGTACACTACTGACTGACCTCTAGGTCCTGGGCTGCTTTTTGCTGCCTATTTTCTGCCTGCATTGGGGCCAGCAGGGTGGTTCTGAGTGCATCTCAGCTCTGAATTTCCACTGATTTTCACTCTGAACTCCTATGAGCAGGAGTGGGGCAAAGCAGCTCAATAAAAGGATCATCCACATGCAGCCTGTGAATGCAGGCACCTCAGATCCACCCAGGAAAAAGGTGAATAAGTGACTCATTTCTTAAGCTGAACAAGGCCAGTTATGGAAGGGCAGACAGAAATAAGGAGAGGCCAGGTGTCAGTGGTTTAGTTACAGGTGTTGGACTGATGCACTCCAAAGTTGTCTTTGATTTGAGTGAAGTCCAGCCCACTCTTTCCTTGCCTTCCCCAGTGTGAAGCTTCTTGGTATGGGTACCTTATGGGAGCAGAGCCTTGTGAAGTTGTTCCAAACCTAGGATTTCCTCTTTCCAAACCTCAGTCACATGAGCAATTTGAATTTGCTTTAGCCTGTCCGTGGCTACGTAGCACTTATAGCTTATAACACAAAGGCCTTTCAACAGAGATTCTGGACTAATGGTTCTTTTTCTACTACCATGGCAGACAATAAATCTAGATAAAATAGTGCAGCTTGTCTATGCATCCCCATGCTTTCATTTCCTCAGTTTCTGGGTAATTCTTTAGGCTGAGGCACAAATTTTCTAGGTTCTTTCCTTTCTTCTCTCCCTCTTACATATGCCTCTCTGCCAGTCTCTGGAATCTGCTCTCTTTTGGGAAAACAACCTATTATTTCTACCTCAGCTCTCTAAAACGGCTTCTTGGACTTTCGTGGCTGCCAGCCTCTTTTTCATTTTGGTAGGTTGATTTCTCATCAGCTTTTGCTTCCTGGAAAATGATCCACAAACGAGGAGCAAACTCCCCTAAGTTAGTTTTAAGGGCCAACACTTTTTACCAACACAAAATAGACATCTATGAGGAAGATGGCAAGAAATTGCAAGAGAGCAGGAAACCAACAAAAAACCTGCAGAAAAGAAATGCTGTTTTCCACTTATTGCCTTTATTTACAGTTCATATTCTTACATTGGTATTCTGGAGGAGAGCAGACCTATGTGTGGTGATTAAGAGCTGAAGATTGAGCTGAAGATTGAGCAGCATCCCCATTGTGAGGACATAAGCATGCTGATGTCACCGTGCCACCATCTGGGGTTCCCTCAGAGGTCCTGGGGCCAGGACAAGCTCTGGCAGAGCACATGGGGCTACCAGCAGCAGACTGTGACACCCTTGGTGCCAGGGGATTGATGTCATGAATTTTGGTGGCAGAATGGACATGGCTCTAAGCAGCCAGTGAAGATGTGGATTCAGAGAAATGCTTGTGGAAAGAGGGCAGAGGAGACTCAGAAGGGAGACTGCATTAATCAGTATTTCTGTTTGCACTGAGGGAGATCCAGGCTTGAAAGCCTCTGCACTGCCTTCTTTGAGGTTGCTTATTCCTATTAATTACTAATTACTCACACTAATGAAGGGAAGGAAGATATGCTTCCAAGTATGATTAGAAAATCAGTGCTTGGGAGCTAACTCAATGGACCTGCAATGACTTCCCTGACTTCTTTGTATGAAATTGGATACCTCTTGTCACCTTTTTATGGTATGATTCTGAAGAATTTATGGGAGCTAAAATGAAATAAAATATTAACCTTATTGAGAAAAAAAAATTAGGCTGAGACAATCGTATGAAAGATATCTACAAACTGTCTGATTCTCTGTGAAAGCTTACTTCAAGAACACATATTTATCTAGAGGCTTTAACTGCAGTGTTTTTATTTGACATATGAATCCTAAATAGTGTTTACTTGTTCTTCCTCTAAATGTAAGGAAGTAACAGGAAAGACAGTAAAAATAAGCAGAAAACACATAATTCCAGGAAAGGTAGCTGCAACTTATCCCACATTTACCGGTTTTACCATTTCCAACTACTACAGTCATCTGGCAGTCAGTTGCTGCCAGAGGAGAGCTGAGTGAGGATATGTGAGAGGTTCTACTCTGCAGACACCCAGCAGACCCACAAGCCTTCCATAATATTCGTCCTCTCCCCTGTCCAGTTGACAAGGTGAGTGACAGAATGACTTTAGTCACTGGCACCTGGTTCCCAGCCGGGGACAACCCACCACACTCTCCTAGCTGCATTTCCAAAGCAAGAAAATAAAAGCATACACATTGAGTTTTGCATCTAAATTTCTTTTGTAATGTTTGGAATATTAAGAGAAAGATTTTGATGTTCAGTCTTTGAAAGTGACTGCAGCAGTCATTGACAGGAAAGAAAAACAAACAACCCTACACTGAAATTTGCTGTTTGGCAGGTACCAAGCACTCCCAGCTTTCAGGCACCTGTGCAGCTGAGTGGAGAGAAGGGCACAGCCTTCCTCAGGCTGGCAGTGCCTGGTGCAGTTCTGGCCAGAAACAGGGTGACACCTTGCTCGTCATGTCACTTGCTCTGCTGCCCATGTAGAGAGGAAAACATCAGAAGTGGTGAGATACTTGCTTTTAATGCCTGGCTATGAATCACACTGTAGTTGTTGAGATGTTTTAGTTTTCTCCCTTCTGCTGCTTTTTTGTTCTGTTAAGCCTCTTAGATCATAGCTCTGAGACACAAACAATCAGTTATGGTATATCTTTACAATGTCTAATACAACAATATTCTGAATATAGCCTAATATTTCATTTACTACAGTATAAATTATACTATAACAAATTTTGGGACTATAAAGGAACATCCATTATTTCTGTGTTATCTCAGCTAAAATTCTTGTGCTGCATTATACCACATTTCTCATCCCTCTTATTTAAAGTAATTTACAAAAAATGTGATGTGAAACTTCAGAGAAGTCCCAAGCAATGCATTTTATGTTGTCTGACAGCAAAAAAAAAAAAAAAACCAAAAAAAAACCAAAAAAAAACCAAAAACCAGCCCTACATTAATTTGAGCATCCACATCCAAAGAACATAATCTGCTTCTAGTGCATCTAAAGCTCAAAAAAAAAAAAAAAAAAAAACAAAAAAAAACCAAAAAAACCCAAAAACCAGCCCTACATTAATTTGAACATCCACATCCAAAGAACATAATCTGCTTCTAGTGCATCTAAAGCTCAAATAAATGCTCCTCTTCATACAGTAACGCAAAGTTGGCTAGATCTTATTTACCATGGAGGAAGGCCTACTGACCTAAAAGCTAAAAGCCTTTGGTCTCAGTGTGTCTGTGGTGACATTTGCACTTCCTCTGCTTCCCCTGGAAGCAGCTGAGCTGGACAAGTGAAGGGACAAGCTGTCAGTGTCTCAGTACCCCCTGCACCTGCACAGCTCCCAGCATGGACCAGGATGTGGGAGAAGTGCGACCAGTCAATGGGAACATTCTGACACCTCAGCCAAGTGTGGGGACCTAGACAGCCTCTCTGTCCTCCACTGGATGTGTTGATCATTTGTACATTGTTTGAAGAATTCAAGCTCATCCTCTGCCCATTCAATTATTAAGGGAAATGAGAAAATCCTCTGTGTCGATCCTCTTTTTCATTTTTATAGTACTTACAAATAGACACAGTGGAGCAATCTTGACAAAGCCAGGTATCACCGGTGCAGGAAAAACAAATAATGAGAGCTACAGAGGAGTTCTGTACTTGGATTCATTTCATCCTGCACTCACTCCTCTGCAACCTGCTTACCATGACAAAAGTCACCAGAGACGCAAAGTGCTGTGATAATGAGATAGCTGCAGGTAACTTCCAATCAGTCCCCTGTGGCACATTTGGAGTTTACTAGCCATAGGATATAGTGGTTTCTCCACGCAATTGCCGCTGACTCCGCATTTCTCCTTCAGTAAATATATGCAGCCATTGAAAAATAAAATTCAGGTTTACCTTACAAGAGTGCTGAGCTCGTCCCTCTTTGTGTGCCTCATGTTTATCCATCTTGCAACCTTGGGAAATCAGTATTGGCTTTTTTTTATAGTAATCTCACTGCTGGAAGCAGACATAGTTTGGCTATTGGATATTTTATGTAATTAGTAATTTATGGCTCCTGATTTTCTCAGACACTTTTTGCAAGTGAAGCTGCAAATAACTTCATGCCAAATATTAAACCTCTGGATACAGCATATGCAGCCTTTCACAGACCAAAATTATACCTCTTTAGGAGTTTTAATCCCCTAAAAAATATTTATTAAGAATGATTTCTCTGTATGTAAAGTGCTGGCATAAATTATAATATAGAAAATTTAATAATTAATGATATTTTTAATTATATGGGTTTTTCCACTGTTATATTTTTATCAATTAGAGAATGTATTACTGTAATAATAGTTTTATTCCTCCTAAGACACACATTTGAAATTACTTCACGGGGTAAACTTTTAAAAGCTATGCTACATGTTTCTTTTTTTCAGCTGTTCACAAGTTGCCTGGAGTCAGGTTACCTCTGGTAACAGTGTATGCAAGATAGAGAGACGAGAAACCCATTCAAGCATCTCATGACATTACCCTTAAATTATTGTTCCCGTTTTCAAGAGAAAGAGGAATGTGTTTAACATTTCCTTTCATTTTGTTCTGCTTTTAAGTATCCTTAACACTGTGCCAGAATTAAAGTCAAAAGTTAACACCATACTAATGGGGTTAATGTGTGGTCAAAGTCTGCATTTTTTTCTGCCAGAAAAGCATTTGACATTATTCTTGTTGGATAAAGACAGTCAGCAGTGGTAGGTTACAAGCCTGCAGCTCTGAAGAGGAAAACCAGGCTGCTTGCACACACTGATTGCTGGATGTCTTTGTTCCAGGCAGGGCAGGCTGTGCCAAGAGGTGGTTTTATTCCTCCTTCCAAGGGCCATGCTGCTGCTTTGCAGTGTAAGGAGCACTTCGGAGGCACAAGGGCCTTAGGTATAAATATAATGATGTGACTGTGTATTGTCTGTGTTGACCCATTGTAGCTCTATTCCAGCTTCATCCCAGCTGATTTCCATGGTGTTATATTGCCCTCGGCCTGGTGTTGATGGATCAGAAATCCTTTCCCCCAGTTTGCAGTGCACAACAGTGAATTTTCTAGGTAACCTGCTTGGTGACCTCTGCATTCCCTTATGCTGTAAGACAGATGAGGATGAAAAGGAGCCAAAAAGAAAGGCAAAACCTAGACAGAAGCCATCTGCCCTCTTTCACCTTCTCACAAAGTCTCCTGGTAGTGATACTGTGAGCTCCAGACCTGGCTAGAAAGGGTCAGCTGAGTTTAAGGAAACATTTTGCAATGCATGGTTCCCCATTAGAAACTCAGTAGAAAAGGAAGACAACAGTGATGATGTTCCTCTGGTTTTCTTTCTACCCCGGCTTGTGCTCAGAGGGAGAATTGGGAGAGATGAAGGTGCAGCTGTGGCTCTGGGAAACAAGGCTGATGTCTGTGGCCTCAAGGATATGAGGGTGGGGAGTCAGAGTATCCATACAGGTGCTAGGAAGTTCCCATGGCTCCAGGAGGTCCTACAGACAAATGTTTTAAATTACTCTTGCCTTTCAAGGACTTTCATTCTCACCTACAGTACTGACACCTGCTCTGTTTTCGGCATGAGATTCACAGGTCTGGGAGTCAGACTCTTTCAGCTCTGTGACAAATTTTTTTAGATGCAACATCATCCAGAGGCCATATTAGTTGTACACAGGAGAGGTTTTGAGAAGCTAATGTGTGTGCTTCTCAGATCTTCAGCTTGGCCTTAAAGCAAAATTGATGAGTTAATTAAATCAGACACATGCAGCTTCTCTCCGTGGAAGGCTTTGCTGTGGGAGTGTGGAATTGGACCAGGAGGCAGCACCAGGGCACCTCCCTGACCACCCCTGTCCTGCAGACCCCAGCAAGATGGGCCAGGCTGCTCTGGGGATGGTGACCAGGGTCAGCCAGAGCCCAGTCATCCGCAGGCACCCTGGGGCTCAGCCAGGAAAGGATCCCATTGGATGGGGTGGGATGGGATGGGATGGGATGGGATGGGATGGGATGGGATGGGATGGGATGGGATGGGATGGGATCAGATGGGATGAGATCAGATGGGATCAGGGATGGATCACTGAAGGCAGTCCTGGTTCAGCAGGCCCCAGGGTCAGGCAGAGCCAGGGCTGCAGCACCCAGTCTGCATATCAAAGAAACTCTCATTACCAAATGAACAGAATGTTTCGGTTAATCCAATAGAGAAGGGGTACTTAATTAATTTCTACCAAGGTCTGCTGGGAAATTCTTCTAAGGTCTGTTAATTCTTACTGAGATTTGATCAGCAGGAAGCAAGACACTGGTTCTGCTCTGCCTTCACGATTCGCAGCCACTTTCCAAGGGAGCAGGGTAATGGGAGGAACTCCTGGGCTGCCTGCAGATAACATGAGGTTTGGGTAAAATGTGCTCATGAGCTGGATGAGAAGCTGCTATTTAAGTACCAGCACAGCACTATGTCTTGAAAGATGTAAATTAAAGTTACACAAATAAAGTGAGAGCACAAATAAAAATGAATGGTTTGTTCCACATTATAATTTTTTTCCAGCAGAAAAGCCTGCTTAGCAGGTTCCTGATCTCTCCCTTGTCTCACCTCCATCAAGGCAATGACCACCACAATTTCCCAGCCCTTCAGCCAAGCTGCTGCAGCTCTTTGTGGAGGCACTCCTTGAACCCAGTCAGTAAAATCATCCATTTTTTAAAACAAATTAGGAAAACAAAATGGAACTATTTCAAGTGTAGCCACATATGGAGCACACTGAGCACTTACAAAACTGTGGTGCGGTGGAAGTGGAACAGGGCAAACAGCTGTAAAATCCTTCTATGAGCCTCACTCTTAGAGCAGTCTGGCACAGAAACACCCAGATGACCACAACCCTCACCAGAAATTCCTCCAGATCATTGTATCACCACAAGTCCCACATGCTTTCCATTATAAAACCCAGTATCACACTGTTTTTCAAGACCACTGTGCTTCCTCCAAGCAGACCAGAACTGCAGATGCTGGAAGGATGAAAATTATTCATCTACAATAACTCAGGTGTTTCCAAACACAAGGGCATAAGAGATGCTTTGTTTTAACCCTGTGAAATTGTTCTTGCAGCCCCTTATTTGGTGGAGGTTTCAAACTCAAAATTCCCCTGTCTTACAGAACCTCGATTCACACCCCACACAGGTACAAGGTGCTGAGGAATTTAGGCATATATAGAGACATATAGAGAGACAGCCCTATTTAGGTTACACAGGCAGCATTAATTTTGGTATTTCCCAGTGTTTGCATGTTTGCCTGAACAAGCATGATCTACTGTCCTGTGGGCTGCTGGAGGCAACCAGATCTCAGTCACTTTTTGTCTTCACATAACTTCATTAGCTCTGCATGTTTGTTATAGAAATTTCTAAATCAAAGTTGTTCAAGTGAAGAGAAAGCAACTGCTTTAACTGAAAGCAACCTTTCCCTGATTACATACAAGGTTATCTACATGTAAGTTAAGCACAAGAACTGCAGTTATCAATATATCTAGTGACAACTCACTGCACTGTCCAATTGGTTTGGTGGCTTTGTTTCAAGAGCCAGCCGGGAGCTAAATTAATCCAGCTAACATTGCTTGTACTTTTAATCTAATGGAAAAACTGAATTTCAGACTTTTAAAAGTGAAAGGCAAGCATCTATCCATCAGTGGTACTACCTAACTGCTCATACTGGGTAACTGTGGAAATAATAGCAGACAATACATTTAATTTCTAAGGCTGAACAATCAGGAACCATTACAGGAATGTGGAAGACACGAGTAAAGCAATTAAGATAAGTGGGATGTCTTTCATTACTTGTACCAAACAAGTGAACTATTCAGAAAGACGGGCCAAATTGGCGAACTTGCTCAAAATAAATGACCGATGCAACTTTCCATGTGTGCTTATTGAAACTCAGACACTGCTAGCTGGGCTGGCTCCTTGTCAGCCTACTCCTGTGGCACTCAGCTCCTGTTTAAATAAGAACATTACTTGTTTTGAGTGAAAGTTAAGCTGGCAGTCAGAAATGTGAAGTAAATGACTACATTTTGTTTGTAGAGAAAGCTGAGTGCTTATTTGCAAACACATAAGGAAGAAGTGGCTTCTGTTCAGTGGGACTGCTCCAATGTGTGTAGTTACTCATTTGCTGAAGTGTTCACAAGATCAGATCACAACATCCAGAAACTCAGCTGCTGCACCCAAACATTTTTCCCACAGCACCCAGTTCTTAGTCACCACTCTCCAGGGAGAGCAGACGGTGTAGAGCAGAAGTCATTGTGGTCAGTGTGTGGCTTATTTAGTAAAAGAACTTGCTCATTTTCCATGATTCATATTTCAAGAATGCATTATTAATTTGTCAGACTAGATTTATACTAAATCAAGAGCTGCAGAAAGTCTTGTCATTTGTTCTAAAGCCCAGTGTGAGAACATCAACCTCAAATATATACAAGGTAACACTTAATTTGGGATCAATAGTATTAAGTTTATCAGGGATCAGTATTTTCAAAAGATACAAATGATTTGGTGTAGGTCCTTTCCTTTAGAGAGATTCCCTTAGGAAGTGTGATACTCAAAAAGCAGATCCTCCACCCTTCTGAAAAGCCAATGGCACCCTGAGACGTGTCAGAAGGGTCTCCTGAGACCCCCTGCCACTTTGGAATATCTTTGCCAGTTATTTTAGTTATCCTGAAAACAAAATGCCCTGTCTAACCTGCTGCTGTTTGCTACCACCCCTAAGGAGCCTGCAGTGCTTTTGGAAGTGGGTAAATAATGACATTATGTCCTGTCATAATGTTTATTTAGCCAGTAGTTAACTGACTGGACAGTCTTAAGACCAATGTTCATTCAATTCATGAGCCTGAAGGAGAAGTAAAAGGTAGCTCTCAAACACCTACACAGCCACGCCCAGCAGATTCCAGCAGAGAGAGCAGCCTTTCTGCCGGCTCACTGATGCCCAGGGAACCTCCCTGAGCCCCAGGGCTCCTGGTAAGAGCTGAGGGGAGAAGCAGTTCCAGCTTCCAGCAGCTTGCAGGAACCACTGGCTCTGCAGAAAGCAGTAAGATGCCTTCATTAAACAATGCAAAACTTACACTACAAACCACACCAGGAGAGCTGTGGATAAAACTGCAGTAACATTTTTTAAATACCTTGGTCAAGTCATTCAAAAAATATACATTGGCAGGAGGAGGGGAAGTAGTTTAATAATTTTAATGGCCAATACTTAAGAAAAGATTAAAGGTCTAATACATTAAAAAGGAAACTCTGCTGATGGTAATCAGTTCTGCTGCTTTTATGCATCATTTTATTCCGTGTTTGTGTATGAAATGAAGTGGGGAGGCGGGGTGGGGGAAATTTGAAGATTTAGGGAGATTACTGCTTTCATGAGAGTGTTTTATTGCACTTTGGCAGTTCTGGATTTAACCAGAAAATCCAATTGTGGAAAAAGGATGAAACAATCTGTTTTTCCTCTAATCAATCACAAGGTTGCAGGACACATTAAAATAAATTTGTGACCGCCATTCTTCTTCCTTCCCACTGCTGTCGTAGCAAATGATGATCCAAAAGGCGACTGACACTTCCCATATCAGCCCTGATGCACACTGCCC